GCGCGTACAGACAAAATAACCTTTTCCCGCCGGCCGCCGTCAGTCAGAGAATAAAAAAAAACAGCATAGAATGAATAGCTAGATTGCTATTGGCTATTTCAATTTGCAATAGCGAATAGCACACTAGCTATTGCACCTGCCCACTGCTGCTGTCAATCAGCAGAGGTGGACCTGAAGTTCTCCATCAGGTCCTCCTCTGCAGATTGACAGCAGGAGAGGGCGGGTGCAATAGCCAGCTTACCATTGGCTATTCCAAATTGAAATAGCCAATAGCAATCCAGCTATTCATTTCTATGCTGGGTTTTTTGTTTTTATTCTGACGGCAGCAGCTAACAGAATACAAAAAAAAAAAAAAAAAAAACCAGGTTGGAATCCCTGCAATGGTGTCAGTGGGAAGAAAAATAAATGCTCCGTAATTGGTGTTAGTAACAGTAGTGGTAAACCCCCAGCATTAGTCTTCTGTGAGAAATAACACTGTGTTCACACAGAGAGCAACAAGACAACTTGCAGTGCACCATTAGCTGCTGTTCTTGGAATCCAGTGTGTAGAGGATGCGAGCTCAGCAGTAATTCTTTCTAGTTTAGATTAAACTGGCACTATGGAAGTTGTGTGCATCACATAGGAAAGCTGTTTGACTGACACCGCCTGAAGTCCAGGGTTCATGTCAAAAACAGCCAGTGAATCTTGACTGTGCAACTGAAGACAGAAAGTTTGCCTACTGCAATGCAATGCAAAGACAATTTGGAGGCACACAGTGTCCCCAAGAAAGAATACAAAAATACAGAGCAACAGAGTTTTCCACCAAGCAACTGAAGTAATTGAAGATGGGAAGATGGTACAGAAGCAGATGAGGCTGAAGTTCCACTTAAACTTTTCTTGCAGCACTACAATCCTCAGTTGTCTTGTCAGGATTTAATTTAGAGGGCACTTTGGGGTTTTATTTACAACTTCACAGGAATCCAGGGTCTGTGTCAGCACAACCTCTTCAAGTCTTAAAACTGGGACTGTGTTATCTTCACTTACCTGCACCCAGATGTCCTGTGTTTGATTTGCCTCAACAACCCCCAAAAGGGGCCCCCTATTCCTTCCCCAGGCCCCATAGCAACTGTGTGAGCTGCTATGGCTATTGTTACACCGCTGTCTGTCTGAGACTAGCTTAGTGCAGTTTTCTTTTAATTAAAGTAGTACTAAAGGCTTGGTGTTTTTTACCTTTATGCATTCTCTGCATTAACCTAAAAAACACCAGTACTTTTCTAAAATCCTTGGTTTGGATACCACTTAGGGTTGCCACCTGTCCAGGCTTCACCCGGACAGTCAGGGTTTTGAATGCTGTGTTCGGGTTTCATGGGAGCAGAATCTCGGACACAGGATGTCAGGCAGACAGGGGCAACTAAAATTAAGATAGGGGCTACTGGCCCCCCACTGAAAATAGTCTCAACTGTGATATTTACATAAGAATGGGTGGCTCTATTTACATATGAATAAGCCAACACTCATTCTCCCCCAAAAAATGTCAGTGCGTTGCTAGAGTGTTCGGGTTTCGCTTGAAGAAAAGGTGGCAACCCTAATACCACTTGAGAATGAGGAAATAAAAAAATGTAAAGAGCAAAAAAAAGTGTATCAAAGTAAGTCTGGCCTCCAAAAACAAGAAATATTTAAAAAACCCAAAGTTTAAATATCACTTAAAGGAGAACTATGGGGTTAAGGCTTTTCCCCATAGTTCTACTTAGGGTAACGGGAAGACACAAACTAGTGTCCTCCCGTCACCCTAGGCTCAGTATACCGCGAGCTGTAGCTCGCGGTATACTGAGATGCCGCAGCTGAAGCGGATCCCGACAATTATGCCGGGTTCCGCCCAGCTATGTGACTGACAGCTGGCTCTGCCTATCTAGAGGCAGAGCCAGCTGTACCCACCCCCTCCCCCGTCCGTTCCGCCAGTCAGCGCTAGCGGATCGGAGCGGGGAGGGGGAATCTAGCCCCTCCCCTGTCACGGCAGGTATGTGTTCGCTCACCTCCCAATCTGCTGAGCTGACCTGTGACAGTCTCATTGTCACAGGTCGGCTAGAACTATGAGGTGAGTGAAAAGCACTCACCTCATAGTTCTCCTTTAACTGCCCCCACACACTTCCTGCACCCTGCTGTGTAAAATTATTATCTTCATTCCAGCAATATTCACTCTGTGGCCCCATTCAGGGCTTCTCAGCCTTTGCTAGGAAAGCATCTCCGCTAGCTACTTTTCTTGCAGAGTGCAGTGGTCCAAGAAAACATGCAACAGTCTGGATTAGGTAATGTAAACCACAACATACAAAGTTCAGTGGTCTAGGGTATGTAACATACAGCGCAGTGTGCAAACTGCAGTGTCCAGAGTGCAGTAGATTAGACTATGAAATGTACAGCATGATATACAGAGTACAGCAGTCCAGGGTGTGTCATGTACAGCATGGCACACAAAGTGATGTCTTCCACAGTGTTTAACATGCAGCATACAAAGTGCAGAAGTCTAGGGTATATAATGGACAGCACAGGGCAAAGAGCGCAGCAGTTTGACTATATAATGTACAGGGTGCAGCAGTCAGGGGTATGGAATGTACAGCACGGAATAGAGGGTGCACCAGTTTCTATTACATTGGTGGTTGCTGGAAGAAGTCTGTCCCTTACATTGGTGGGAAGTGGGATAAAGTTTGCCCCTCACAGACAGATATCATTTTTGTCAGTGGGAACTTACCTCAGAGACAAGACTCTCTGCTGGTTCTGTATTGCTGACCCTACTGTGCCAGCACTGATTGCAGAACAGTAGGCACAGGTTCTGAACCAATTTGCCTGCCTACTAGTGCAGACTGTAGACATGCCCAGATGACTGTTTTCTAGAAGTGCACCGAAATGAACATTTCAAAACCGAAACGAAAGTGGCCAGCAGGTGGTTCGTGGAAAGTTGCAAGTGAATGGAGTACTGGTTTATGAAGCCACGACACAGGCTTTGTATAGGATCAGCAGAGAAACAAGGCAGTGGAGGGAGATGGAGAGCAGAGGTACTTTCTTCCAGTCCCATGGGAGGTGCAGTGGCTGCTGGAGACGGAGCCGGGCTACAGCGGACTGCAGACGGTCATGTTAGAGAGAAAGGCCCTGTAGGAACACTTTATTACGCTCTTGGTTTGCCTGCTGGGAGTCAATCCTCTGAGCCAGAAATTGCATTTGATGGTTAACTGGAACCAGGGTCTCCAAAAAGCTCACGGCCCAAGCAAACTGTCACAATAGTGAGTATTGTGTCACAATAGTGAAAGTGGACTAACATGTCAGCAGGATGTGGGAGACTCCAAGGCACGGAATTTAGGATCAGCCAGTGTTCTGCTAGGGACCCTCTCACGGATGTTAAGGCTTAAAAGAGAACTATGGAGTACCCATTTTATCCCATAGTTCATTTTAGGGTCACGGGAGGACCCTACTACTACCACCCTACTAACGTCCTCCCGTGAGCAAAGCTCAGTAGCAAAGCAAAGCTCATAGCCATTGCTTACTATATACTGAGAGCGCCGCAGCCGGTACGGATCCTGACAATACTGTCGAGATCCACCCAGCTGGCTCTGCCTATCTAGAGGCAGAGCCAGCTGTGCCCGCCCCCTCCCCTGTTCGTTCTTCCAGTCAGCGCTGGAGGATCGGAGAGGGGAAGTCCCTGCAGGGAGCGGTGATTGACAGTCACCACTCTCTGCAGGGAGATGATCAGGAAGTGAGCGAGCGACGGTATGTGCTTGCTCACTTCCCGATCAAAAGAGCCGACTTGTGACAGTTTCAATGTCACACATCAACTCTAACTATGAGGATGCATCTTAATCACTCATCTCATAGTTCTCATTTAACTGTGTGCTGACCCCAAGGTTTCTTCAAGGTGCTCTGGCAGAGTCAGCTGATCGCAGGGGTGTTCTCATGGGAGCAGCATAGACAGGAAACAAGCAAGGAAGGAAAGTGACTACTGATCTACAGAACAGGACACTTCGGCAAGGGGGCAGGATCTAAGTTCAGACAAGACTGCTGAACACAGTTACTGTAAAGACAAAGAAGAACCACATTTTCTTACACTACACAGGTCCTTGCAATACCATTTCAACTATTTTACCCAACTTTAAGATAACCAGGCACTTACTGTTTGATTGTACAGTAAACTTTCTGTTAGCTGGAATTCAACTAGCCAGAACTCTCATCTAACCAGAAATTCCTTGTGTACTCACTGTTCTGCTGATCTGTGACATGTATTATCCTGAAAATGATTGCATGCCTATGTGTCTTAAGTGTGTCTACTTGCCTTAATTTGCTTTTGATTACTGCATTTCAATATTAATATGAAGTCAATACAGTGTTTATATTATGGTATGGTATGGTATGATATTTTTAATAGTAACTCTCAAGAAACCAGAAACTACATTTATCTGGAATCTACCAATCCCCATGGACGCCAGATTACAGGGAGTTTACTGTACAATATCTTTTATATTTACCAACAGCTTTAAAGTGTGAGGGCCTACCTTACTGGGTATAATGTGAATGGAATGTTTAGGAAGGCCCTCACTTGAAGTTAGCTCTTGGAAAATATAAATGAGATTGTAAAGCCAGTTTTTAATGTGTGGCCAGTTTTAGGGCTACCAGTCAACAACAGATAGCCAGGACAGCACTTACAGTATATGCACTATTTTCCTAAATAATTTAGTGAGAAGCTCATCTTCTGACACCGAAAACGGAGTTCTCTATGCAGGTTCTATTATCTCAGTCTGAATGCAATAAAAAACCATGATGTAGACTTCAGTTCTCAGTACAATTTGCTTTCAGTTTTTTATTAGAGTAGAGGAAAGGTTAGAACTTCTGGTCAGCTTTTACTGTTCTCCGACTCCACTACACACAAGAAATTATGGAAAAAGTAGGTCATACGGACAGACAGCAATAAAATAAAACGTGGGCAGTGGAAGTCCACATATTTCTCTTGTGAGAGTTTTCCCAGTCCTATACCTTCTTGTGACCTCCTGCATTACTGCACGGTCTCCCTATCAGGCCTGGATTCCCCACAAGGCCACCGATGCCAGGCCTAGCGGTGTGGAATCCCCCGACGCGCAGAACATAAAGTTCCAGGCGCCGGGCGGTAAGTTGCCATCTACATTTAGTGTCACCGCTATCACGTGTAAAATGTGTGCAGCCTGTCTGTGTGGCCCCCGTCCCCGCGCAACTACCTCTTTCCTCTGGTTACTCTGTAATTGGTATCGGCGAGTACCGCAAAAAAATTATCGGTACTTGTACTCGGTACCAAAATACCGGTATCGGTGCATCCCTAGTTATAACCCATGGTATCCCCATTGGAAGAATTACCAACTCAACCCAAAATTTGGTATTTTATTTTTCTTTCACCTTCAGTAATAATTGTCACCAGGACAAACAGCGAGAGTGAATCTCCCCAACAGGGAGACACATAGCAATACAAATTTGAGGTGTACTAATCCCTCACCACTCTATTGAAAATAGAAAAAAAAAAATGTAATTAAAAAAGAAAAGGTTTTGGCTTCAGCTGCACTTTAATGTAAAATGACCTGTAGCTTCCCCTCCTTTTCCACTTGGGTTGTCTGTTAAGAGGACACAAATGTAGCCTGCTCCTCCAGTATAATGGCTGTACTGAGAACAAGCACCAAGCATGGCTTTTATACTCCGCAAAGTGAGATGGCACACACAAGTCATTTTAAAGCTGGGCACACACCTTACAACCATCGCAAGACTTTAGTCTTGCGATGGTTGTAAGGTAATTAAAAAAACGTATGATCTGCCTATCTTGGACAGGCAGATCGTAGTTGCGATGATTGCAAGCCAGCCTCGCTGAGGGGCAGCTTCCAATGACCGCAATGCCGAACGGGCAGTGTGCGATTGCGCACACCGGACCGTCCGGCTTTTATCTTACGAACATGCTACACACCCGCTGAAAATCGTACGATTCTCCGCGGGTGTTCGAACATGTTTGTAAGATAAAAGTCGTGCGACCTTACAGTAGTAGAGGTCGCACGGCTTCCACACACCTTACGATAATCGTACGATCGCGGGATTTCCCGCGATAATCGTGCGATAATCGTGCGATTATCGTACGATTATCGCAAGGTGTGTGGGCACCTTTACAGACAGTCTAAATGGGAATGGAATTGAGAGGTTGTGCTGTGCAGCAGCCATCAAGTCATCATCAGTTTTGAATCTGTACCTGAGATATGTATATGTCCAGGGTGATTAGGAGGGTGGGGGACTCCATATCAAAGTTTACTTAACCACTTGCTGACCAGGTGTTAAACCCCCTTCCTGCCATTTTTCAGTATTCAGCGCTGCGGTACTTTGACTGACATTTATTGCGTCATGCAACGCTGTACTGAAATTAATTTTATAAACATTTTTTTGGGACAGATAGAGCTTTCTTTTGGTGGTATATAATCACCACTGGGGGTTTTATTTGTTACTATATTAAGGGAAAATTACTGAAATATTTTGTTTTTTTTAACTTTTTTTTTTACATTATGTTAGAATACATTATTACTTAATTTCTTGGTAAAAGATAAAAGATGGGGTCACGGGTAATAGACACCAAACATGTCAAGCCTTAAAATTGCACGCACCCGCGAAAACGCAAAAAACTACCATACCCAAAATTGACCATAGCCGACGCTTTCAAAGTTTTTACTGCTCATCAGTTTAGTGTTATCATTGATTAATGGTCCTAAAATGATTGCTCTCACTGCAACGGTCGCGGCGATATGTAACATGTGCGGCGTAATGGGCACAACTGTTGTTTTCGCATGTATGCGCACCTGACGCATGTTTGCACACGTGTATGTATGGATGGGGACTTTTTAAAACTTTTTGTTTTTAAAATTCTTTTTCATGTGTGACTAAGTTTTTTTCTGCAACTTTAATTTTTCCGATTTTCTTTATTGTTATCACATAGGGCCTTGGTTCTCAACTGGTGGGTCGTGACCCAAAAGTGGGTCGCGACCCCTTGTTCAGTGGGTCGCCATATGCCTTTCACTTTTCTAGGTGAGAGGCTACTCAGCCTCCCCCAGGCGCAGCACTGTCCATTCTCACACTGAGCAGCCCTTCAAAATATGCTGTCCGGAGCCAAGTGTCGACGTGAGGTGGGGTGGGCTGGGGATATGGCCGCGAGGGAGCTCCAGTTATACGTGCATTGTTCCTTCGCATGTCCTGTAGAGGTGCCTGGACTGGAGTGACATCACATTCTGGCTCCCAGCTACTCTACAGGTGCACATGGGAGCTGTACAAGCAATGCACATATGGATGGAGCACCAGCACAGCAGCCCACACTGCCGTGCGTTCTATTGCAGTACTACTTGGGTCACGACTTAATGACCGAGGACAAATGTGGGTCCTGAGGTTACACAGGTTGAGAACCACTGACATAGGGGGCTAAGAAACCCTCTATGTGATAGCAAAGATGTGACAGGTCCTCTTTATGGAGACATCAGGGGTCTCCAAGACCCCTAATGTCACCTAGGACCCCCCAAAGAAGCTGATGAAGCACAGATCTGCTTCATCAGGTTCTGAAGCTGGAGAGTGGCAGCAGAATGCGGAAGTGATGTAATATACATCACTTCCGCATTCTGACACCATAGAGGGGAACGGAGGGAGATCGTGTACTGATCTCCCTCGGATCCCCTGTCACAGAGCCACCGTGCTGGTCCCGGGCTCGCACCAGGTACAGCAGAGCTCGAACCAGGGATAAGGGCCCGATATGGGCCTGCACGCCGCACGTACGTGTACGCACTGAGTGTGAATGAGGCCTAAATGTCACTGACTATAAATAGAAAAGATTTCAACATACATTAAACGTACAGTTTCCTGTTATGAGCAAAAACTATTCCTAAAGACACTGATGCTATTAGGGCTAAGCACTTGAATGATGGTTTTGAGAATGCTATGTAATTAAGATGAATAAACCATAAACAGTGTTACTAACATACATTTTATCAGAAGATAGAAAACACAAAGTAATTTCACATCTGCTGGATACAGTGTCAGTCTACCAGTAGTGGCACTTAATAAATATGATTACAGATTACATCTTATTGGACTTTGTAAAATTGCTAGATGTAGATGTTCACCAAACATAGCAGAATTGCCTAAGAAATGTTGTCCTAAGACCACAAATCACACACTTAATGACGGATGTAATTCTACAAACATGAGTACCATTTCATATTACAGCTAAACTGCATTAACAGCGCCTGCTGGAATCTGGGTATTTTAGCTTTAGTTCTTCCTTGAAGCCTCTGTAGAGCTGACGGTTTCTTTTGTTTTCTGCATCTTTTTGGCTGTGGAAGTCCCCAGGTAACTTGTGGCCCTTGTGAACCAGGAATGCAGAGTCAAGGACTGCAAACGTGAAGCCAGCTATATTCAATTCACATGCCTTAAGGAAAGGGAAAAGAAGTAAATCGATAAGTGTACACAGTTTTACATTTTCTTCTAATTCAGAGGTAGACAACCTTGGCACTCCTGCTGTTATGGAACTACAAGTTCCATAAGGCATTGCAAGACTCTGTCAACCACAGCCATGACTCCCAGATGTAGAGGAACCACTGGAATGCTGAGGTTGACAACCCTTTTTTTTTTTTTTAATTAGATTACCTCACCATACATTTTAAAGTGACACTAAAAATGCATTTGAGTACCTTAAAGCGACATTAAACCTTCAGGTTTTTTTTTTTCTAATTTATGGGGGCCAGACTTGCTAAGAAAAACTCTTTTCTTTTTATTTCCTTGTTCTCTAGTATTATCCAGAATGCTAGCGCCACTCCCCCTGTACACAGCTAGCTGACTGCTGTGAAGGCACCTGTACGTCACAGCCGTGCCCGCACCTAGCTGTGTGGGTCTCTAGATACATACAGCGTGCAGCCGGCCAAGCCCCCACTCTTGCATTCACAGCTTGGCTGACGGCAGTAGGAGCCTATGGCTTCTCTGCCCTCAGTACCCAGAGTGAGTATCTTTCTGGTCATAGTGGAGGAGGTAAGTGTGGGGGGCGGGGGTGTTAGAAATAGCTTGGTGTTTTTTGCCTTAATGCAAAGAGTGTATTAGGCACAAAAAAAAAACAGCCCTTCAAAAAACTTTAACTATTAACAAAAATGTATCCTAATTGTTTATCACTCAGTATCACTGATGTCATGCTGACACTGTCCTTTCTTCCGGAGAGTGGCTACTTTTGTTCCCCATGGTCCCTGTGTGTTGTAAAGTAGCCACTGCTCCAAGCTCCCTCCCATGAAGGACTATAATCTCATGTTTAGTTTGCTAATCTGTATTAAGATTGTAGTCCATCAAGGGAGCAAGCTTGTAGCGATGTCTGTGAAGGTTCTCATTTATCCAGGTCATGGTATAGCTAGTAACAGTTACTCAGGTCTAGGTAGACTAACCAAGCCAAAACTAGTTGAATGTGAGTTACTACTACTAGTCAAACATAAGAAGTTCTTTTTTTTCTCATTGCCCTATGCCTTTTTTTTTTTTTTAAAAGGGTATGTACGCCAAAACGTTTATATTTCTTTTTTAGTTTCAGATAAAGTAGGGAATAAGACCCCTTTCAGATAATTTTTTCTGTACATGCCCCCATCTGTATGTCCCAAAGACAGAGGAGGAAATAAGAGAAGAGCACTCCAAAACTGCCACCAGTTAAACTGTATGGATGAAGGAATCTCCCACTGAGCCAAACCTTAGTATCTTGCTAGTCGGCCCCCACTGGCTCTCAAAATACCTGAACAATGCCTGCATCCAATCCGATTGTTCAGGAATTTTGAGAGCCGGCAGGGCCGACTAATAAGATACTGAAGCTTGGCCCAGTGGGAGATTCTTCCATCCATACAGTTTAGCATAGATTGAGGAATCTGTTGCACTTTTTCCATCTGGCCATAGAAAATCTGGCCATAGAGTATGGCCAGCTTAGCACAAGAACGTCTGTTTAGATGTGAAGAAATGCAAACCACGTGGGATTAACAATTACTTGAAAAACAAACACAGAGGGTAAATTTTCATTAGTCTACATACAGTAAAACTTTTGGAGACTTATTTGGGCAACAATGCTGCAGAGTGTAACCAACAAAAATGCTGTGTATTATTTAGTCTGTATAATCAGGCTAGTATTTCATCTTTTATATTTCTTTTATCATTACCTGGCTGATTCTGTTAAATCCATATTGCTTGAATCTCTCATCATAGGATGGCACAACCTTATTCCCAATATAAAATGGTTCCCATGGATCCCTCCATTCCACAACATAAGCCACTGTCAGTCTACTAGAACTCTCCGGCAAGTTCAACCACGCTGAATAATTAGTAGGTGCTTGGCATCGGGGACAAAGCTCTTCATAAAATGTGCGGACCTCTCCCACTTGGTACAGTCGAAGCAGTTCCTCTTTGGTTCCAGGCAGTCGCCGGGTGTGTCTAATTTCAAAGGCTGGCACCACAAATACTGCATGTGTATCTACCCCTTGAGCAGCCAAATCCAAAAATTTTGACCTTAGTCCTTCACTAGGCACCATATCAATGTCTACTACCAATACAAAGGTTGTGCTTCCAATACCAGCCCTGGCAACATTCCTTAGAAGATTGTTAGGGTAAGAAGCATTACCTGCATAATTAACTATATGTGTACCCATGCTTGCTGCCTTTACAAAAACAGCCTGGCATGTACGTAGATTTGCAAACTCAGCCTGGTCTTCCAGTTCTGGAAAAACTGCCTGATCCCCAGACTGGCACACCAGATGAAAGAACACCCTCTGTCTCACTGATGGGCACAATTGAGCAATAGTAAATATTAGCACTGTGCCAACTTTTGCTTGAGCAGAACTAGAAGCAAACAGTGCCAGGGAAATTTTCCCATCCCAACGCTGAACTAGGTCTTGCAAATGCCACAAGTTATTAAGGCTAGTATGGGAGGCCAGTACCAAGTCCAATGTTTTTGATGTTCTCTCTTCATGTGCCAGCAGGTGACGATAAATCCGGTACTGTCCACTTCCATCCAGAATGCCCCCAGTAGCCAATACCGCCTTTATATGGTCTTTTTGTTCCCTTTGCCATTCTGAATCTGTATTAGATGAACCTGCATGTACTGGATGTGCTGATCTTGGCTGTTGTTGTCCATGCAGGTTAGAGAGGAGAGAAAGGTAGAGAAGCTGGAGTAGAGCAACAAGGAGAAGGGCTACCAGTGCCACTCGAAAAAATGAGCAACGCACTGCACCTGGCATCGCCTGACCTTACAAGCTACTTCTAGCACCTTATAGGTTTTCAGATTCTGCTATTGTGCTCTATGGACGTTACAAAATAAAAAGCAGCAACACTCCTGGTCCTAACTCACAACAAGAAGCCACAGCATTCTATTCTATTGTATACAAATACATTGATAAAAATACGTTTGATCAACAGTTCTTCCTTACCCACAGCTTTGCACAAACCCTGAATCATATAACACTGTGTAAGGACCATAGCAGCTGCAATGTTCAACTCTCATCTCCACAACATGCAGATTCAGGAACGCTGGTGACTGCACACCTCACCCTTCCCAGTTCATCACCCTGCCAAGACCTCACATAAACACAGCACAAGCTAAGATCCCATCCATGAGAGGAGCTGGAAGTGACATCATGAAGAGGGCTGTGTTTAGATAGCTGGGGGAGGATGTGCAGAGCTGAGTGCTTCAGAAATGTGACTATGTCAGGGACAGTGTTGTGTTCTAAAAAGGGGAGGGAAGTGTGCAGAGCTAACTGAACTGTGTGCTACAGACGGGTCACCACATCGAGCGCAGTGTTCTGAGAGGGGGTGTGTGCAGAGCTGATTGAACTGTGTATTACAGACGGGTCACCACATCGGGCGCAGTGTTCTGAGAGAGGGTGTGTGCAGAGCTGATTGAACTGTGTGCTACAGACGGGTCACCACATCGGGCGCAGTGTTCTGAGGAGGGTGGGTGTGCAAAGCCTGCTTGAACTGTATGCTATAGAAGTGTCATCATGTTAGAGACAGTGCTCTAAGGAGGGGGGTGTGCAGATCTGCCCGAACTGTGTGCTGCAGGCGGGTCAGCACATCGGGCAGTGTTCTGACTCTGAGGAGGGGGGTGTGCAGAGCGGCCTGAACTGTGTGCTATAAAAGTGTCATGTCAGAGACAGTGTTCTGAGGAGTGGGGTGTGTAGAGTTGCCTGAACTGTGTGCTATAGAAGTGTCATCATGTCCAATAAAATAATAAAAGGTACAGAACTGGGTCTGCTTTCTATTGTCTTTCAAGTATTGAGCTCTGCTCCCCAGTTGAGAAGTCACAGGAACAGAGATAACCAGAAGTTTCCCATCCAAGCTGCTAGACTAAATGTGATTGGAAGCTGATGAACTTTAAGTTTTTTCTTTTATAAGACTGCAACATGTGCAACATTTCAAATGTGTTTTTTTTTTTTAATCTTCTAACAGCTCTTCACCATTTGTGGAACTAAAAGAACCAGCATATGTATGAAGCTAACCTTGTAATTACACCCTGAGTGGGATGAACAGTTGTGCATGTTGCATATTAGTCAAGGAATCTTCAAGTGACACTAAACTCAGGAGTTAAAGTGACATTAAACTAAAAAAAAAATGTTTCCCTCCCCCCAATGTTAGTGTAAGCACTTACCTTAAATGATGTCTCTTAATCTAATCTTCTTTCCTGATGTTTTCATCTGTCCCTCCAGTGGTGCGGCGGCTCTCCGATCCAGCGCTGACTCCTCTGCCCTTGCTGGCACTTCCGATCCAGCGGTGTCTGCATGCGGGTGCACGCGTCCATACACTTACCTTATGTCTCTGCTCGTCTCCCGGCCGAAAATCCAAACTGCATATACAGTATCTACTGCTTGCTAGGCAAAGGAACAGAGGGTTTAGAAACCCTTTAAATGTATTTTGTATGCTATATACTGTTATAACCCAATAAAAACTTTTAAACAAAAAAAATACATTCAAGTAACTTTACAATCAACAAAAATGTATCTTATTTGTGTAAATGATTTGAGGATCTACAGCCAAGTGATACACAAATAAATTACATTTTTGTTAATAGTTGAGGTAGTTCAAAGTAATTTTAAGAATTAGCTCCCGAGTTTGGTGTCACTTTCAGCTGAAACCGTGTGGAATTCATTGGTGTTGTATTACACATGCTGCATGATGTGTTACCGTATGTACACTGCCCCTGTGAGCTGAGAGCTCCAGCGTGAAGAATTTAGCATAATAATGCCTACAGAGTCCACTGGGCTGGATCACACTATCTGCACAGTAAAAAGCTTCATTTTACTTTGCAGCTAGTGTTAGCTGAAAGACAGTGGTGAGCCATGGTGCCTTACAATGCAAAGCACTATTTACGATTTTCTTTTTCTTCTAACTTTATTTAAAGTGTACAAAAGTACACTCCATCCAGATCCCTGCACAGAAGTGCTATCAGAGATACCATGCACGGGTGTCCCCACACCGCATACAGGTATCTCTACGGGAGGACCAAATGTGTGACCCCACCAGACATTGCTTATAAGGACACAGTTTATTCAACACAGCAAAAACATGTATCCACAAGCAAATAATAATAGCCAACTAAATGTAAGCACAAGCACATACAAAAAGGTAACAGGGCAAGTAAACCTGGGGAGCAGAGTAACACAAGGGGAGCCAAGCAACAAGGCAGAGACAGGACTCAGGTAATGGCGACAATGCTAAGGCAAAATCCACCCTGCAGGGAGGGATTAAATACCCTCCCAGGTAGCACCAGGTGGTGATTAATCCCCGACAGCTGGGAGACACCCGCAGGTGAGCACTGGACTTGCAGGTTCCAGCACCACCCAGTGGTGGTCTGTTACCTGGCTGCCTGGAAACACCTGCAGGTGAGCGCAGGACCTGGTTCCAGCGCCACCTGTAGGTGCTATGGTCCCTGACAAGTGCAGTGTACTGTATGTGTGTGGGGTGACCTGTGGTGGGGTGACCTGGGGTGGGGTCTAGTGCACTGGGAAAAAATTTGGCATGTCTGGCGGCCGGAACTTATACATTGAATGGTCCCTGGTGATAAACTGCCACTTTTTAACAACAGTAAAATGAAATGAAGTTAATTCATATTTAAGCCTATAACGAAAGTATAAAGTACCATTTGTGGCTGCGTTATTATATGAATAATCATCAAGCAGCATTCTGGTAATTCTTGTTGGGCACTTATACTCTATGACCTGGATAATAGTGCATCCTAGGAAGCCCATTTGGTGGTGTGAGCGTGGTCCAGAATTTCTGTGGTGTTTTAGTGGGGCAATGTTGTCATATTTTCTATTGTGGTTTAGTGGATAAATATTTATGTATCTTGTAATACATTTTAAAAGAATAAAGTAAACATTTTTTTGGAAATACTGCATACTGCATACTGGCCTATGTGTAACTATTTTTCCCCCATATTTTTTGGCCAGCATCCCACTTTTAGAGGAGTCGGTTTGACCCAATGTAAAAAGGTGAGCCTCCCAGAAGATTTTTATTGTAGTCTTAAAGCCTTTCCACCTTTGCAGAGGTATTCAAAAAAAAATGCCAGCAATGTACACCAAGTGTACATGAAGCAGGCTTATGAAGATGCTGTATATGAACATAGAAACTTAAGTTTTTTTGTTAGCTTTCCTCTTTATATCCTCATGGAAAGGGCTGCCTCTGTGCTATGCAAGCAATCTCTGTATATTACAACTGAGCTCTCCACCCTTCATTAGTATTCATAGTGTATTGTGTGCAAAGGCAGAGCTGGTGTTTAGTGAGCACAGGGCAGGTGTAGCTGATTACAGGTTGCTCCAACCCCGGTGCCAGACTGAGTTTGTAGGATTCAGGGCTAATAAAAAGTTAATTTTAAAAAATGAAGAAAGCCTGCAATGAGTCATGAAAATGTGCACACATGTACATTATCACTGCACCTCTACATTACCATAATAAATGCTAATTGCTTACAAAGGTGGAAATGTTCTTTTAAGTGTATTGCCACTTTTGCTGCCGAATTGCGATAGCACCTATTTTATATTTGCATTCACATTGCGTAACTTTAAAAAAAAAAATTGCCTCAAAATCTTACCTAGCTCTCTCTATGTTGTGTGATAGGGAGGCGTGAGAAGTTATGTTTACTCTAATTAACCCTTTCTGCACTGTACTGGCAGATTTAATTGTCAGTAGTAAACTAGATTTAAAGGAGAACTATGGGGTTAGGGCTTTTCCCCATAGTTCTCCTTAGGGTAACGGGAGGACACAAACTAGCGTCCTCCCGTCACTCTAAGCTCAGTATACCGCAAGCTACAGCTCGCGGTATACTGAGACGCTGAAGCGGATCCCGACAATTATGTCTGGATCCGCCCAGCTGCGTGAGTGACAGCTGGCTCTGCCTATCTAGAGGCAGAGCCAGCTGTACCCGCCCCCTCCCCTGTCCATTCCGCCAGTCAGCGCTGGAGTATCGGCGCTAGACGGGGGAATCCAGCCACTCCCCTGTCACGGCAGAGAGCTGTGACAGGATCGAGAAGTGAGCGAACGCCGGTATGTGTTCGCTCACCTCCCGATCTACTGAGCCGACCTGTGACAGTCTCATTGTCACAGGTCGGCTAGAACTATGAGGTGAGTGAAAAGCACTCACCTCATAGTTCTCCTTTAAACACTGTCTGCCCTAACAAAGGGTTAAAGACTTAGAAGCAATGTATGTTAATGAAAGGAAGCTGGCTCTGTCCATCAGTTTGTCCCTTTGCATTCACTTTCAAACTGATCTTAGTAGCCTGGAATCTGCACAAAGACCTTCAGCTAAGAAACATCTAAAAAGGTAATAAATATGTTTAAAAAAAATATTTGTATGTGTGCTGTGTGAATGGGAACATATATCAGACGTAGTAGGGTTTTCTAACATCTGACAGCGAAAGTGGAAATACACTTTAACCCTTTCATGACTGGAGACATACACTGTACGTCCCCATCATTAAGTGCCCAATTGACTGATCACGTACACTGTCATTTGACTTGCAGTGTGTAGCACCTTTCCCTGATTGCTTTGCTATGTTTTTAGACAAAAGCTGAACAGAAAGTGGGAGTAAAATAGGTCAATCATTAGCATCAGTGGCAGCAATATTAGCCCCTGAGCACTGGTGTTCAGGGGCAAGAATAATACCCTCAGCATTGGGGTTCAGAGGAAGCAATAATAAACCCCCCCTTCATTGGTATCAGTAGCAGCAGTCAGAACCCTCAGCATTGGTTTCAGTGGCAGCAATAATACATCCACCCTTTGTAGAATGTGCTCTGCTTTGGGGGTGCCTTAAATTACTGAAGGACAACAGAAACTTAAATAAGTGTTGTGTTTATTTACAAATAGGGATATACAATTACAATTAAGGGAAATGGAGAGGGGATTTGGAGGGGGTGAGTAAGGATAGAAATTGAGGTTAGGATCCTTCAGCTATCAACATCATTCTCTCATTCACACAATCCAGGCCTTTTCTCTGTGTTCAGAACACT